GTAATTCATTTTTTTTACATCTGATCTTTTCAATCTCAAATTAACTTTAATGTTCGATTGATCTTTAATCTTCTCTAATAATTTGTTTCTCTATAGCGATATAATTTTATATAGAATTTCACCTAAATTCAGTCATCCATTAATCTCGCATTTTTCCCTTACAAAATGACAAACTGTCGTAAATAATCACAATGTCACATAATTTGATATTCAAGAAATAAAAAAAAATTGCTTTTCTTCTTTCCACTAAATCAATAAATCACATATTGATCTATCCAATCAAAATTGTTCTATCTAATCAAGACATTGATCTATCCAATCAAAATTGTTCTATCAATCAAAACATTGATCTATCCAATCAAAATTGTTCTATCTAATCAAGACATTGATCTATCTAATCAAAATTGATCTATCCCGATCATAATTCATCCCTTATCACAGTTTCTACCAATGACAGCGTACTAAATCAATAATAGTGTCTCTTTTTATTTACTATTATTTTAATTTTTTGGAATAACAGATGGAATAAATTTAACCAAATATTAATAGAGTTATCTAGAAGTATAAAAAATCATAAGAAAAAAAAAATTATTCCTCTTTTTAATGAAGCTTTAATTTTGTAGTCCATTATGTTGAAACTTGTAAGTTATACTAATATAGTGATATGATAATAGCTATGTATTTGAGACATTAAAAAAATTAGGTGGAATAAATTTAATCAAGTTTTAATAGAATAATTAATTTAATTTACAAAAAAACTAGGGGATTTTTTAAATATCGCTGATTAGCATGGCATTCCAAAAGAAAAAAAAAACCATCCAAACAATTTTAATAATAATCAGTTACTGTTAATTAATCACTAATTAGTGCATATTACTGTCAAATTTTTTATTCAAAATTCTATGTATAATTTAGAAATATTTATATTGAAGTGAATAAAGTGTATACGAATGAATGAAAATTTCGATCAAAAATTTTCTAATTTTGAGACATTCTAATTTCGATCAAAAATTTTCTAATTTTGAGACAATTTTGAGACAAGTTTTATTCACTTATTTTCATTTATGATTTAAAAAAATGATTATTTACACTCAAATTAAAACTATTTGAGATATTTCAAAAATTTTGGAAAATTTAATTTTTTCATCCAAAAATGCAACTACAGTCTGTATCAATTACAAATTTGCAAAATTCTAGACGAAAATTTTGCTATAGCAAAAGAATCAGTCAGCAAGTTTTGTGCTTAAATTTGAAATTTATAGTTTCAGCTTGAAGCTAATATTGTTTTCACATTAGCAATAATCAAATCAAATTCATTTATCGAAATTCTATTTATCATCCGAAAAAAAAAAAAAAAGAGAGGAGAAGAAATTTAATGGAAAGCAATGTAAAATAATAAAATTTACATGAAATGGAGATTCAAAAAAGTTTTAGCGCTTCTAGGTTTAAGCTTAAGCTTTTAGACTTCAGTTTAAATCAATTTGTGTTGAAAGAAAAGAGAGAATATTTTTTGTAATTTCTGTTAAAAGTATAAGAAGAAAGAGAGAGAGAGAGAGAGGGAGAGGGAGAGAGAGAAAGAGAGAGGGAGGCATCAGTAATGGAAGAAATTTTGATAAATGCATAAGTGAAAAAAAAAGTGCAACTAGCGCTTTACGGTGATATTTTAAATCATTAATTTCAAATCACTTTTAAAATATTTATAATAAAAATATTTTTCCAATAAATGTTCTACTAAAATTTGAAATTTTTTATAGTAAGTAAAAATAGAAAGTAAAGTGTTTAGTTGCATGAATTACTTTTAGAAATTCTCCATCCACTTTAATACGCATGATTTAATCCAAACTTAAGTAAGCACTTGAGAAGATGGCTTAGGAAGCAAATTATCGATAGCATTTCAATTCAACCTGTCAAAATCCGGAAATCTTTTTGATGCTCATTAAGAAAGTAAACGATACGGAAGAGAAAAATGAGTAAGCATGACAAGAACAAATATTTTCAACTATTGAAATGTTGAAATTTAACAAAAACAAGCAATAAATATTAAAAATTTAATAAAAAATTCAATAGAGCGAAATAGTATGCTAATGGATATGAAAAATTTAAATGTGCTTAATATGAATATAATGAAAAGTGACAATATTCCATTAGGATGACAGATGTGACATGAAATTAAACATGTTCTAACCTTTTACTATATTGATTAATCGTTATCACTATTATTTTTTAATTTGTTAAATTATCTGTGCATATCTTTTGATAATTACATGAAAAAAAATATAGATAATTTATTCATAATTTATTCATATTGAATGAAACTACAAAATAATTAAAAATTCAATTAAAGCAATGATAACAATTAAAATGAAAAATGAAATTTGTTAAAATTCACTGATAAGAAATTATTCTCAATGCATACAATAATAAAACAACCATTTACACCAATGTCACATAATAGTGTCACATTAATGTCACAACCATGGTGACACTAAACCAATCCTATCGTTGTTATTCGTATTTTCTTCATTCAATTGCAAATATATCGCAACATTCATATTCACTTTCATCTATTTATATTGATTATTTAACAATTTAGCTGAATCATTTATTTACAGGAAAAGATTTTATCCAATGACAGTTTCACATTTTCTGGAACACAACCGGAAATGTCCGTTGTAGTTTTTCTTTTTTTCCATGTATTATTTTTCCTTTTTCTTTTTTCTATTCTTCAGAATACCGGAACAGACTGATAAATCAGTCAAATATATATAAAGCTATAAATTTGAAGTTCTAGTAAACTATTGAAAACGAAAATTTTCATGGTATTTTCTTCCGGTACATAAAAGTCTTCATTACAGTTTTGTTAATTATAATTATTATTAGTTTACTATTGCAGTGAAATACGATGATGTGAAATGGTGAAAAGCCGTTGTTTGCAGGATTGGAAAGAAAATCCGGATTGAAATCCTGAAAAAAAAAACAATCAAATATCTCTCAGTTCAATAACAAATTGTTTACCTATTTTTAAACTTGTAATCTTAATTAATTAATTAATTTTTTTAATTATTAAGCTAAATAAAAACTTTAGCTTAATATATTTACCTTTCCATAAAGCTTTATTTTCATATATTACACTCATTTGCTTAGTTAATAATTTTTCAAAAACTCTAATAATTGGCTTTTTTGTAATATACAAAAAAATTAATTACTATTTTAACCATAAATGATAAAATAGATTAAACTGATTTTAAGTGCATTTTCTCCTATCATTTAAATTGATTTGAGTTCTATTACGTTTGATGAAATATATTTTATATTTAATGTAATATTTCGGTTTTATATTTATTTTTTATCTTCTTTAATTTTTTTCACAGAGCAAAAATAAATGCATTTATTTGATGCAATTATTTACCACTGATCTAGAATTAAATCAATTGCCAATGGCTTCAAATCAAATAAGTACCAAAATGATCTAGAATAAAATTGATTATCACTAATCTAAAACTAAATTATTTATTAAGTAATCTAGGATAAATGACAAGAATTATTTCTCCTAGCTATCAAATTCTATTTAAATTTTCAACTTGTTATTTTTACATTTTTTTCCTATTTTTTTTTCTTCTGTCATTTTTTTTTAAAAAATATTTTAACTTTTAATTTGATTAAGTTTTGAAAAAAAAAATTCGTTTTTTCGAAGTTTCAAAATAAATGAAAATTGTAACATTTACGTCGATAAAAATTGCTTTCTCGAACAATATTTCCCAGTTTTTGATTTTTCTGATAATATTTTATTTTCATTTAACTTTCATAAATGATCAAAATAGGAAATGGACAAAAAAAAAAAAATCAACGGTCAAAATGCATTGTACATTAGCTTTCACTTAACCTTGTATATTCGTGTATTTTCAATCACCTCCACGTATCATTCACGTCCGTGTAACCGTGTATTCTGGCTGATTTCCGTGGTTAATGCATCACATTCCGTAACAGTGATCGAATCTTAATGAAAACTAATATCATCGATGTGACTGTCATTAATATCAAAAGTGTCATTTTTTTATTGAAGAAATGAAAAGGACCAGATTTTGTGTAGGAATGCAAATGATACTTATATGAAATAAATTACGAGTAGAAATGCTATATGCATTTATATCACTAAGTAAATTAAATACTTTTAATTTATTCCAAATAATAGAGAGAAGGTAATCACTCCACAATTTAAAATTTAAATTCATCCACGAAAGAGAAACATTAAAGTAATATATAAATGAATAATACAATTGCAAATATTCATTCTTTTCCTGAATACAGTTTCTGAATATATAATAATAAACAAAAAATACTAATTATTTAATTAGCACTTCAATATCCGCCATTCATTATTATATTGGAGACTGATCTGATATGATAATGATTAACTATATATGCATGACTAAATGGTCGAATCATCCCATTTTAATGTTAGGAAAAATGGCACTTATATTCAACAATTTTTTAAAATTTGTTGACAGAATTTTTTTGTCATTGTCAATTTTATTTAATTGCATTCCGGTTGGTATGTCTTAATTAATTTCCACAAAGCATATTTTATTAGCATCGTCAAATTTGCTATGGAATGGATGATTGATTTTAAAATAATCTTTCCTGTCACATAAACTGACATTTACTATTGTAATATAATAATAATAATAATAATAATAATAATAATAATAATAATAATAATAATAATAATAATAATAATAGTACAAAAGAGCATCGATTAGATAAGCTATCAGCATTTTAAATAATGACTAATTGTACAAAACTATATTGAAGACTGATCTGATATGATAATGATATATTTGTTTATAAGAAATTTCAATCTTCTGATAGCTAAATAATCCATGAATTATTATCTTATTGAAGAAGCAAAGATTATATTATCTAAAGCTTTTGCTTTTATATAATCACTATGTAATTTTAATTATTTTGTTCACAAAAAATTTAAAGTTTAAAAGGATTGAATGAATTCAACGTGCGTCAAAGTCACTCACGTGATATTTGACTTGGATGGATTATTACTCGATTCTGAAACAGTCTATACACGTATAAATGAAGAAATTTTGCTTGGTTACGGTAAAAAATATACGATGGATCTAAAAGCCAAAACAGCGGGAATGGGAATGAATGAATCAATCAATGTAATATTAAAACACGTACGTGTCTGAATTTTCTTTCGCTTTTAAATAGTTTTTTTTTTTTCTTTCTTTAGTAAAGGTAGATGGAAAAAATTCACTTTTTTATTTTATTATATTTTATTTAACTCTTAAATAAATTAAATTTACAAACTTATTATGATAATACATTTATTTATTTCAAGTAAGAGAGGAATAAAATTTAGGAAGATTTAATTGGAAAGGTAACATTGGAGCAATATAGAAAGCAATATTTGGAGCTTGCAAGTAAATATTTGCCTGACTCGAAATTATTACCTGGTGCATTGCGTCTAGTGAAACATCTTGCTAAACATTTAATACCAATAGCACTTTGCACTGGTTCAAACACTTTTGAATTTGAGACTAAAATGCAGAAACAGCAAGAATTACTGCAACTGATAAATCTTCGAGTAAGTAAATTCCATTAAAAGTGTTAAATTTCTTTCTATCAAACATATTAATTTCAGGTCACGTTTAGTTTTATCATTGAACAGTACTTTTGTGTTAGCTTGAAAAGAAAATATTTGTTATGTCATAGCATTTGATTAAATGAAATGAAAATTTAATTAATTTCAAACTTTTGTTTAATGTTATCTATCCCAATTACTGCACATTTTTAGGTTCTCGCAGATGATCCATCATTGAAACGTTGTAAGCCAGCGCCAGATGCATTTTTAATTACGATGCAACGATTTGTTAAAAAACCAGCAAGTGCAGCCAATGTTTTGGTATTTGAGGATTCCATTAATGGTGTTCGAGCAGCTATTGCTGCTGGTATGCAAGTAATTATGGTTCCCGATTCTCGTTACTCAAAGCCACCGGATGATTGCAAGAAGATGATTCGATTTGTTTTGAAAAATTTAAATGAATTTCAACCTGAAACAGTAGGATTACCACCATTTGATTAATTTTGCCATACTTTTAATATATGGTTTTAAAAATTTGATCAAATTTTTCATTTTTAAAATAAAACAAAGCAAAATATTTACGTGATTTGTGCCAAATTCACGTGCCACATAATCGTTAAATTAAATTCATAGCTTAAATTACAGGATATATAAGAATGCTAAGCATAAATTAAACACTTCCTTTCATACTAAATATCACATCCTATTTCTAACATTTATTTTACATTATAAATTCACTTCACAATTATTTCGTTTTAGTAATTTTTAAGTTCTAGCTTACAGTAATTCAGCTGATAGTTACAAATTTACAGTAGTCGTTGAAATGAAGATTTTTGTTTAATTCTACAAAAATAACCGTATAATCATGATAAGCGATTCTTTATCACTTTCGTAAAATCAATCAATAACGAAAAAAAGAGTTTTGATTGGTTTATTGAAATGAGAAAAAAAAAATCAAATCAAAACATCCCATCTCAACATTAACATACAGACTAAAACTTAAAAATATCTTAGCGAAGAATTTCGCATCAGTGTGTCATCGATAGATAATCATTTGTTCATGTCAAGAAATCGATTATAGTGTAAAAAAAAAAAAAAAAAAAATTAATATGCAATACTTGAAAGTTACTAAAGTCAGAAAAACTTAAAATTTTAGTAAAATGTTTCGTTCTTTTTTTTCTTTTTATAGCAAAACTTTTAATCATAATTAGGAATTTTTTCCTGCCAAAACAATTTTTCTTTTCTTTTAAAACTTGAACATTGTTTGAAACTCGAAATATAATAGTTTGGATGATTATCACAGTAAAATCAACAATTAAGTAGAATAGCAATGTTTGAAAATTGTTAATAAATTGTAATTAAAGAAATTTGAAAAAAAAAAAAGTACATAAAATAAATTTAAAAAAAGATGATTTATTAAAGATATGAAAGCAAGAAAAAATTTTTTTCTCAATCAAGAAGAAAATGACATTCTTTGTAATTACATCAAAATCGGAAAATATAAATTTGTGAAAAAAAAAAAAAGCAATTCTCGGAAGAATTTCGGAATCGAACAATTAAATAATAAAAAGCTTTGATGTAAGCAAACTATTTCGAAAAATTATTAAGCCTTTGCTTATATGAATAAATGAGCGAAGTTAGACTTTTGTGATAGTTTACTCTAAATGATAATTACTATTTTTCTCATTAATCCCTATCAATCTGAATGTTTGAGATTTTTTTTCATTTAAAATTTTTTTGTTGTTTCATTCTAAATCTTAGTGACATTAGCAAAAATCATTTTAGAAACTTGCAGAGCAAAAGTGAAAAATTATGCAAACTTTACAAGTGATTAAAAGTTTTTGATAAAATTTGACATTCAGAAATGTATTTAGAAGAATTGATAAATTTGAGTAGTGATAATAGAAAAGAATTTTTTCTTTAGCTAACTCTTTCGAATTTCTTACAGAACACTCAAAAATAATTCATTTATCCTTGCAATAGCATTTCATTGGTTCTAAATACAAAATATAAACAAAACTTTTACAGTAATAAATGCATCATAAACATATTCCTTTTGTTAATGTTTCTTTTAAAATTAAATTATAAAATTGAATTGTTAACTTGTGGGTTCCAACAGTTAATGCATTTATACCAATAAAATAATCAACAAAAGACAAAGAAATAAATCTGAAATTGATGAAAAGATTAATTCCTCATATGTTAGCTTAATGAATTAGTTAATAAATCTGACAAATTCAATAAACAGCTAGCTATCTCTACTTCTTCAATTTTAAAATCGATATTGAAATATTTGAGATTTCAAAAAATTTTCAATTTATAAAATTCGTTAATTTGATAAATATAAATTGATGATGTTATTTCAATTCGCTCAGATTTTTGCTGCATTTTTTTTTTGCAATTAGTCAAGTATTTCTCTTTTTTTTTCCTTATTGCTGTTTTTCTATATGTTAGCTATCTAAGTTATTTTGAATGACAAAAATTGATACCAAAGAAATTATTCTAATTTTTTATTTTTTAGATTTATTCTGTGTTATAATATTTTATTGAAATAAATTCACTCATTTGATTATAAATAATTTCAATTCATCTCTTCTTAACAGCCAATAAGCCATTAAATATTAAATAATTCAGTTTATAAATGCAAACTGATTTTAAATTAGCAGACGAATTCTAACTAATATCTATAAGTAGATAGATAACAAATTATAGCAATTAGAAAGCTGAAAATATACTCGAATAATCTTTCTAAGTAAACATGCATGACATAGTTTGTTTGTTTGTTTGTTTTTTTCTCATTTAATTACTACTACTTATTCACTAATTAGTGTAATACTCTAATAAGGTAACTTCTATGTCATCATAAGAGAGGAAAAAGAGAGAGAGAGGGAGAGGGAGAGGAAGGGAGAGGGAGAACAAAAAAGGAAGTACTTATTTATATGACAATAAAATTGTTATGCTATTAATGTAGTATTTTTTTTTGAGTGAAAAGTATTTGTTTTCTATCTGTGTATATATATTTCATTTCTGTTCCATTTTCAATACAAAGAGATCAGCGGAATGCTAGAAATTTACAATGATTTTTGGTCATTAATGAAACTGGTTGAAGTAATATTAATATAATGAACGAAACAAGTTGTACATGAAAGAAATTTGGATTAAAATTCAAAGGATAAATAATTTCATTGATTTAAGCAAGAATTACTCAAATATTCTATCATATATAAATGTGAAGAAAAAACGAGGTTAAAAATCGATGAATGTATAGCATGAATATTGCTTTTGTCTTCATATTTTTCAAATTAATTAAAAAAATACGAAGTAATAAATTTAAGTGGTAGCATTTAAAAAAAAAAAAAAAAAATTTATATCAGTTATTGATGAAAAACTTGTCTTAATATGGAGAAAATTAATGGAAAAATGAATATTTATTTATCCTAAAAATTTGAAGTGAACAATACTCTTTTAAATATTCATTTAAAGAGAAACAGTAAGAAGCAAATCTGAATTGCATCATATTTCGATAAACAATTTCTGTCTCAATTAGTATGATCATTTCATTATTTTTTTTTTTTTTTTTGATGATTCAATTTTCTAATATTAATTGATGTAAGCGCATAAAGATATCAAAAGTTGATCAAAAAATAGCTCTGTAAACATACGATCAATTAAGTGCATTACATTATTGTGTAATTAATTAAGCATTAGTTGCAGTCATTTTGATGAGTCAAATTTAAAAACATTGAAATTGAATCAAAGAAAATTTTCGAACAAATTTCATTGTCAAAAAAAGGAGCAAAAAACCTGTTGAAACGGTCATTACTAATAATATCTAAAATTAGAAAATTTTCCAGTAAAAAAAATTTTTTTTTTTTTTATTTAACAAATATCAAACATAAATAATATACTGATTACAGAAAACTGAAAATATTACTAATAATACCTAAAATTAGTAAATTTTGGTGTATTCTAAATTATTGATAATAGGAAGAGAAAAAGGAATCATTTTGCGCTAAACGTAAATGCTTAGTTAGCTTATAAGCGCCGATTTCGTGTTACTTATCAATTTAACTGAAATATCACATATTTAAACAGAATTTATCAAAAATTTTTATAAAAGAAATAAAGAGATGAATGCTTCTTCATTTAATTCAAAAAGAAATGTTGCTCCCATTCGACACAATTCAGACTAACTAATTCACTGAATAAATTTAATTTTGCTGCTTGCAAATACTCTCCAAATTATACTCTTTAGCTTTCAGCTAAATAATTGTGTAAGAGACCGAAACAACTTTTAGAGTTACACTATGGAATATTAGAATGAATTAAAAGTTTACAGATCTTTTCCAATGAAATTTCATTTTTTTAGTGTATTTTAAATTGTTGATGAGAAAAGGAACTATTTTGAGCTAAATGTAATTGCTTAGTTGAATTTTCTTCACTTACTTTTCCATACTGTCACATTGTCAAATTTCTATCTCTCATAAATTTTTTTTTTCTTTTTCTTCTTTACAGTATTATGAAATTTTTACTTCAGTACAAATATAAAAATTTTTTAAAAAAAAAGAAACTTTAGAACTTTGCCTGAATGCAAAAAGTAGTTTAATTACACAAATAGCACTCCAATAGGGGTCGATGGTGGGTCCGTCTGGCCGAGCGGTCTAAGGCGATGCGTTCAGGTCGCATTCTACTTCGGTAGGCGCAGGTTCGAATCCTGCGGCGGACATCGGACACTTTTACGTATTGAAAACAGTAAGTAACTCAGTTTGATGACACATAAAATTTCAATTCTTCTTAGCTTATCACCTTATCTTTTTGAATATTTAATATAGCAATTATCCTGCATTGTGCTATGATCGTTTGATAGCATATTTTACAGTTAAATTTTCCCGAAAAAAAAAAGTAACAATATAAATTGCTGATTACTTATCATTTTGTTACATTCATTACAGCTCATATTTTTTGATTTCAGATAATTTCGACAATTTCTGATCTTTTGAATTTTATTTTATGAAATTATAATTTATGTTCATTTTAATTAAATCGTTAAAAAATTAAGCTTTTATAATCTTTTTGTGTTTAAGAGAAGAAATAGTTAAGTAGTTTGATCTAATTTATATCTGATAATTTTAATTCATATTTTATTTCATTTATTGATATGATATTGTTTCATGTAAAAGTTTACCAAAAATAAATGTAGCCATGCACAGAACTGACCTTATAAGATCATGGATCAGTGATAAATGTAAATGCGCAAAATGGAATTCCATCCATTCCATTCCATTACCGCTTTAGTTCTCCACAATGCTTGAATGCTAGCTTCGCTCAACTGCTTACCTCTTTATCGGACTGCAGGAATGAATGAAAATGGTACATAACATTCGTAAACACACAAACATACACACACACACACATACACACACACAACATATATACGTCTACATGCACACACATAACAGACAAACATGTCTTATATGGGTGTGTCCGTATGTTTGTGTATGTGTTGGAGCTGAGGTCTCTGGTGATGCTATCAGTAGAGAAGGGGTGCTGTCTGTAACGCTTGAGTATTCCGTCCTGCTTGGTTGCTGGCGGTGGTGGTGGTAGCGATGGAGGTGGCGGTGATGGTTGGTGGTAGTGGTGATGTGATGTTGATGATAGTGATGGTGATGAGAGCTTGACTCAGTTTATATGGTTCGTTCGGTCGCCATTTCTCGTCACCAACATCACCACCACCGCCACCGCCACTAACTAACATCAGCTCCAAACTTGCCAGTCTCATTTTGTGGCGCAGTAGTAGTAGTAGTAGCAGTAGCAGCAGCAACAACATCACCTTGCCCTTCCTATTTTTCGTCACAACTCATCCAATGTTATTGAAGTGCTTTATTTTGATAAAATACCATCGAATTAACCAATGAAATGATCCGTTTCATCCTATGTTTTTATAATTTGTGCTTTATAAACTTTTTCTTTCCTATTCTAAATTAAAATTTAATTTAATTCATTGCAATCGTTTAACATCTTTTATACTCATATTTGCTATTTGTAAATGATACTTGCAATAGATTTAGACAGTAATATATTGCTAATTGCTTTTATCTAAACATAAAATAAAAATTTTTGCATTTTCATGACTTTTCTACTCAATTATCATCATGTCTTTTTTTTTTTTTTTAAAAAAAAGGAGTGGTTATAAATGGCTATTTCAGGTGAACATGCTTCTGTGTGCTATTCCACTCTTCTAATCGATTCACTACTTCAGTTCAGTTAGATGTGACAAAGCCACAGCTAGGACATTTACCGACATGCTGCATAGCTATAGGTATTATATCTCGAGCTTGTGACATGACCTTATTGCTAGTAAAATGACACAGCGATATAGAGAGTAGTAGTAGTAGTAGTATTAGCCTAAAGTAGTAGTCTACTTTCTCTCTCTGTCGTTCTTTTTCACTCATTGAAGCTTTCGATTTCCAATTTTGGCTTGAAAATGTTGAACTCTCGGTTATCAACTTCCAGCATTGTTGATGATGTACTGCAGTAACAGCAGCAGCAGCAGCTCCTACTTCATTCATTCCTCTAAATGGCTTAGATGGCCATTCTTCTCCTCACCCTCTGTCTTTCATCTTTTCCCATTTTATGGATTTTTGTTTAGAGATAGCAATGAATTGCAGCTAGTATCGAGAGCAGCAGTAGCAGTAGCAGTAGCAACACGAGAAGATAAGCCAAGAACTTGAGCAATAAGCCTGAAGTATATAACAGCCAAGTTAATGCTGGGTGTATTTTTGGTTTAGGAGAGGAGACAGACCTCTCACTGCTATTATTCATGACAGATAAAAAAGGCCTATAGCAGATGTAATCATGAAGTAATCATTCAATTTTTTCAGCCTTTTGTATAAACCATATCACTTTCTTTTTTCTCTCTCTCTCTCTCTTTCTCTCTCCCTCTCAGTTATTTCACAAATTCTTCCGAGCTCTTATTGTTTAAATATAAATTTGAGAATTTAAAATACAAAAGAGAATAAAGATAACATATCATATTTGTAAATGATAGAAGATAACAAATGAAGTAAGTATACATTAACTGTCCCATGTAGTCAATATGATTTTTTTACATAATGCAATTAAGTAGCTAATATTATCTAGTTGGAAAGCATTTGCTTAATAGTTATGTTTAATTTTATTTTTGCTCACTCTTTCTTTTCTTTTCTTTTTTTTTAACAAAAATTTCACAAAATTCACTATGATCACTTTTGATTGACAGCTAGTTGACACAGTTTTACATGTTATTTTTTAACTTGCATTTCTCATTCATTAACAAATTATGTACTATTTGAACTGTTATTATATGTAAAATTTGATATTAACTATTAATGATCGTTTATTTTCTATTACTGAATTTACTTTTAAAAGTAGTGATAATAGGGTTACAGTGATGATGACAATGAATATTGATGTCTTATCTATCGATGATGATATTCAATATTTATGAATAAATAACTTGGAAATGAGAAAGAGAGAAAGAGAGAGGGAGAGAGAGAGATTATCAAAGAGGATGAAATAAATGAGAACAAAATATCCTTTCCCATTTCAAGTTGCTATCAAATCATGATCTTGTTAGTTGACAAACTTTTGTATTATATTTAATTTATTCATAGAAATTTAGATTTTTTTTTTTTTGGTAATACTTAACAGTTAACTAAATATATTTTTGTTACTTTAATGAAAAAAAGAAATGAAATGAAATGAAGAATAAAATTGTGATGATGATTATCTTCATCGTTATTGTCATCAGGTGGATTGCTTGATAGTTCTACTACTACTACTACTATTGATGTTACTACATATAAACAGGTTTACAAAGGTTTGGTGGCAATGGTTTTTGGATAGATGATGTGTGGTTGGTTGGTTGGTACTTCGCCGACATCACCTCATCATCATCGCTAATTTCCTTCACTTCCCTTGTCATACTCTATCCCCGAAGCATGAGATGATGATGATGATGATGAAAGAAGTAGGAGGGAGGAGGAAGAAGAAGAAGAGGAGATAGAAGAAAGATGATGGGCTTTTCTCTTACCTGAAAACAAGATCGTCAAGCTATATTATCACTTCTCTTCCACTTCTCTCACTAATATCATTAATTCAAAAGCAACGGTAGCAGCAGCAATAGCAGGTAGCAGGTAGTAGCGGTAGTTTATGGTAGTTTTAGTTGTGATAATAGTAAGAAAAGATTAAAATTTACTGATTGCTATACTACTGTTGCTAATGGTTTTGTTGCAAATTGATGACTGGAAGAGCTGCTGCTGTATTGGTGGTTCTAAGTGCTGCTGCTGCTGCAAGAACGGTTATTTTTTCTTTGGCTTAAGCTTACGGTAGTTGAATATGGAATGAACTAAATTGAATTATTTATTAAAATTTCACATTTATATTTATAATTTATGAAAAATAAAGGAAAAGAAAAGCATATATTAATGTTATTTTGTTAATAAAAATGTTAAAAATATTTTTACAAATATTTTAATATAAGAAAAAAGATGATAATGTTAAAAAAAATGTATGCAATAGATATTATTTGTAAAGATAATGAATATTATATTATTATGATAATTTGCATTTCTAAGTAACTATCAGTCATGTTATACTGTTCGAAAAAAAAAAATAATAATTCAAGAAGTATCCTTTTTTATGTTAATTATTGAAATTACTCACATTTATTATTATTATTTTTAATTCAATAATGTATTTAGATATAAATTTTTAAATTCTAAATATTCATCATACTGATATTTTCAAGACTTTAAATACAGATGCCGGATATATTAAATGTAGTTTGCTTAATTAATATTGATATTTTGAACTATGTTATCAGTAATATTACAAATTTTTTGTTACTTGTGTCATTCATTTAAAATCATGTTATAATCATATTTTGATTAACTTATATGATTTGTCTTTTTGCTTATGGTTGCATGTTAATTAATTACTTTATCATATTGACCGTTGAGATAATTACAGTAAGACAATGAGATAATGATGATGATACTTTCGAAATTTCTGATACATTTTTGCTCCGGAACTTGATGTTATCCTTTTCTCTAACTGCAGTGACAGCAGCAGTTCCTTCTATCATGATGACAGCGACCGGCGATCAATGACAACGTTGATGATGGTAATAAAAGAAAAGAGATGGACGAAGGGGCAGATGGACGATTGAAAGGAATAGGTCCTGCTCCTGCTTCTACTCCTTGTGCTCGTTCCTAAAATTTCGAAAAATGTGGAGAAAGGGATGTGTACGGAATGGCTGTAGAAATAGTAAAGAGGGAAGATAGGTAGATAGGTTGGTGCGTGTGTCATGCCATGTCATGTGCATGTGCATGTGCATGTCTCTGTGCATGTCGTGATCTCGTCCTCCAACCACAAAATTATGATTAAAGTGTGTTCGTCTGTGTATGTCTTCGTGCACCTTGTATTTATCATGAATTTTGGCTCTTCTGCTCTTTCTATCCCGAATCAAAATGAATAAATTGCAGCAAAATTGAAAAAGGGAAGGTATGCTGCCATATAAAACTATCAAGCAGATATGATAGCAGCAGCAACAGCAACAGCAGTACTGTTAGCAATATCAATTACAAAACTTTACTCATTGATGTGGGATTCATTACTCTCCTTCATTTCCATATTCCATCTGTCATCAAATATCTTTTGAGTTAAATCCTAACCCCAATTTTCATAGATTTTTATGGCAATTGAGACCATTGATATAGCGGATGGAGCACCAGAAAATGGGAGCAATCGGTCGGGTCGAGCGCACCACTACCTGTCCTTCCCGCTTCTCTTTACCTTTGTGCTCCATCCGTTTTGGTCGGCCGTTACAAACGAACATCAAACATTCATATGACAAACACACACCATCAATTCGATACAGTTTTCCGTCCTTCAAAGCGTTTTATGCTCCATAACTCGATCCACTGGCACCTCTTACTTTTGAGTTTAACCTATTCAAATTCAAGCTAAATTTTATTCTCTCTCTCATAACATTACTACACAAATATCATTATTGCACTAATGAATAAATTAATTAATGAAGCATAGATAGATATATCGTATCTTTCTTATTGTCCCTTCTACAACTGCCCTGGTCGGTCTCATTTGATCGTCTCCGTAACCGATTATTTGACATTCTTTTATAAGATATTCTAATATCCACAAATGGTCCCTAAAATTATATAAATCTAAGTTTTATCATTACATCATCTATGATTATCGCACACTATCGCCGATTTTGCTTTGAAACAATGATAAAAAATGGAACATTTATGCAAATTAATTATCATTACGACAATTTATTCATTGCATCTCAACAAACTTAATTTTTACTGAATATAACAATTAACAACTGTCATCTTTTATAAATTATCAATAAATGTGATTTAATATATTGTTGGATACAGAAAAGCAAAATTTTCTTTTTAGCTAAGTCCAGAAAAAAAAAAAAAAGGGAAAAAATAAATAGTAATTTACTTCAAGACTAGATAAAACTCTTCAAGATTTCAGAGGACAATTTGCAGAACTTAACAGATTTTAAATTTTAAAATTAATAGAAAACTTGCTAAAAACTTTGGGTAATGTAGTTCTTGTCATCTTCTAACATTCTTATTACTTCTATAGCTCTCTGATTAGTATCATTTGATGATCGCCGTAACTGATTATTTTTATTTGGCAGAATAATATTCACTAATGATTACTACTCTTTCAAATAGGAATATTTTCAATGTAAATCTATTCCAGCAAATGTATGCTTAAAAAAAAAAAGGATCGGTTTCTGTCATATAT